CCGCCTGATGACGTCACACGCCATGCCAAAATAAAAGTCTGTTTTGTTAAGCTTTTTTGCCACTTACTGTTGCAGTCAAGACTAGGGCCAGACGGAATCTGTAGATGTTTTTTGTTATTTCTGCTGAAAATTTGGGTAGACATCTGCGGATTTCTGCAGAATGTTTTTGGGAGTATCCAACTAGAACCTTAATATGGGAAATAAAAATAATACCTTTTTTTACTTTTATTTGATGTTTACAATGCAAATCCAAATAGATTCACTTTATTAGGTAAACAAAGCAAGTCTCTCATATAATATATCTATTAAAAGACAGAAAATATTACTTTACAAACTGCATTGTACTTAAATCCGATTAACATTTTCATATTAGTCAATAATATTACTGTAATTAATTTTAAAACGCAATAAATTTAGATTTACACATCAAGTAAATAAACAGAATTAGTGATGGGGTAAAAATCTGCAGAATTCTGTGAAAAATCTGCAGAATTCTGCGCGCACAGATTCCATGTGGGCCTAGTCATGACTTATAATAAAAATAAATCCTAAATAAAACTAAAGTGAAATATTCAGAGTTTCAGAGAACAGGAAAATGTTAGGAAAGATACTGAAATTCTGGTAATTTTATAACAGTGATTTTACAGATTTCAGAGGAAATCTCTAAATATTAGAGGGAACATAAACCTGACAACAGATCCTATCTACGTCGCAGCGGATGCTCTATAATAATGTAGCAGTTTTGCAAACATCAACTTTCTATTGAGTTTGTGTCTGTCATATACAGTGCATATTTGACAGAAGCTTTAAAGAGCCTGTGCGGTGACCGTAGAGATTCAGCTCGGACGAGACGCCGTTTAAAGTATTTTTTTTTTAGATTTATATATAGATATACATATAGATTTTCATTGCTTTAAATTATTGCAATTTTTTTAATGTTTGTTGTTTGTAAATAAAACAAACGTTATAATAGGACCATGTGCATTGCATAGGATTATTCAGTATTTACATTCTTTGGTCGCAGCGCTGTTTTTTATTTATAGCATTTAGTCATTAAACAATGATACTTTGAAAAAAGTAATTGTAATTTAAAAACAAGCTTGCAATTCTTACTGGTGGTTGTAATATTTCAAGCTTGTTCTCAGACAAGTGTCTGGGTCACTAATACTTAGTATTTCTGGAAAATCCGGGATAAAATTCTAGTAAATGGTGGCACTGTAGAGAAATGGCTTCCCGACAGTTTTACACCACCTAAAAAACAAATTTGTTTTTATTTAATTTATTTATTGACCCTGCTAATCCAACGAGAATACTTTTTTTTTCTATGGTTGCATCTGCATTTTAGTTTCTGTGATAGGCATATTGTATCTTTCTCAGTTAATTCAATAAATGTTGTTCTTTAAACAGCTTAAGCATTGAGATTTAAACCTGTATTTTGACCCTAATAGTAAATTGTTATTATGCACATCTTAAAATTAAATGCATTTTTACTCTAAAAAAAATACATGTTGAAATAGAACACAAATAGACAAATGTATTTAATATTCCACAGTTTTATTTTTGAGTAACTGGTTTTCACTATTTTAGCCTATAATTTAAATGTTCTCTCTGTGTGTTTAAGTGTACTGTGTGTGTAGAAGAGTTGAATGAATTTATGCTCTTAATGAATGTGTACAGATGAATATTTGTATAAATAAAAAATGATGACAGATTGTGGTGTGTTTTATCATATATACAGATTAAATTATATTATGTATCCTTTAAAAAACTGTAATTATGTAATATGTGTTGGTTTGATGTTGAAAAGGTTGTTTAAGCATTCATTTCAACGTTAAATCATTTGGATAAATTATATGTTGAATATTTGTGAATTCTATGATGTTCCAATCGACCTAAAATTAACATCATTTCAACGTTAGATAAACCAATTAGGTCGTTTATATGTTGAAAATGCGTGGATTCTATAACGTTGTTTCGATCGACTGAAAATCAGCATTGATTCAACGTTGGGTAAGTAACCAATTGCGACGATTTCAGGTTAGATTTGAATGTAGTGCCTGACGTCGTTTTAACATTACCCCGATGAGCAAAACGATGTTAAATCAACGTCGGTGATCAACGTGAATTTGATATCAAAAGAAATGTTGATTTTAGGTTTTTTGAAAAAAATACATGTTGTACTTGGCCTAAAATGTACTTTCTTAAATGTTATAAATGGCAGAAATTCACACATAGATTAAGGTACATCTGAACTGTGATTTCCAATAATAAAATCCAAATGTCAAAAAATGGCGTTTATGGCGTTTTGCAACCAAACTCTTCATATACATACAGTTGATGTCAGAATTATTAGCCCCCCTGAATTATTAGCCCCTCTGTTTATTATTTCCACAATTTCTGTTTAACGGAGAGAATATTTTTTTCAACACATTTATGAAATAATATTTTACTAGATGTTATTCAAGACTTATTAGGCAAGTTATTGTATAATGATGGTTTGTTCTTTAGACTATCGAAAAAAAAAAAAAAAAAAAAAAAAAAAAAAAAATATATATATATATATATATATATATATATATATATATATATATATATATATATATAGCTTAAAGGGGCTAATAATTCTGACCTTAAAATGAATTTAAAAAATGTAAAAACTGCTTTTAGTCTGGCCAAAATAAAACAAATAAGAATATCTCCAGCAGAAAAAGATATCAGACATACTGTGAAAGTTTATACTTTTTATAATTATTATTATCTGACTGTGAAAATTACCTTGCTCTGTTAAGCATCATTATGGAAATATTTAAAAATGGAAAAATAATATCAAAAGGGGGGTTCATAATTTTGACTTCAACTGTACTTGCTTGTTTTTACCAAGTTACTTTTGTATTTGCATTTTAATTTATTTTCAAAATAGGATTTTATTTATAGTTATTTATTCAATAGTCATTGTATTTATGTAATATGCTTGCTGTGTTAACATAAGAATCCTCTGCCTTTTATACTTTAGTTGTAATTCATTTCAAAATTGTATTTTATATATAATTGTTTTATTTCTGTCATATGCTTGCTGTGTGTGTTTCGATGTATATTTTGTAATAAACTGCAATATATTTAAACAGTAAGGTCTTTATCTTTATTGATTGCCTGCATCATTTCAGAGAAAACAAGTACAAACTGTAAATTCTAATTACTTTCATTTGTAAAATAGATTATAAAAATTTGGTATTTTTTCTCAAGCAATGCAAAGTGCATTATTTATTACATACTACATGCATCCATTTAAAAACCTGTTTAGTGATGGGAAGTTCGGATCATTTTACTGACTCGGATCTTTAAGTCTTTTTTCTAGTCATTTCGTTCACTTGGTTCAGTTTGCCAAAATGTTATTAAAATTTTACGAATTTTTCCAAAACATCTACAACTAGCTCAAAAGGTTGATTGCATGACACATAAGTCATAAATAGAATACTATAAGAAAGAGAAAATAATAATTCAGTGTTTACCTGCTCTTTTGTCAATGAAAGTATTTTTGTCTCTTTGCTCAGCTCAACTCTTCATGTCTTTTAATGTCAGTGGTTTGGTTATGTTACACTGGCAGTCACATATAATCTTAACTAATGTACACAGTCTGAGCCGATAGAAGCCATCATAATTAGTTCACCTTTCAAGTCTTGAGTCGTTTGTTATTTACGTGACAGAATGACTCAAACCCGAGGTATCGAGAGATGAGCGGTTCAATTCTTTTTTCAGCTCTAAACGCATATAATTGGCCCGTGAGGAACGAGTGACTCAGACCCGATAGAGGACTCGTTCATGATTGACCCATTACAAAACCTGGTTAGAGATATCTGCTCCAGTCGGGAATTGAACCTTCAACCTTGTGATCTACCCAAAGTGTTATTTATGGACATATTTCTTGAACTAGTACTGTTATATATGCATTGAGTAGTTTCTGGTGGGCAGAAAATCCAAAATAAAACCTTAACTTCTTTCATTCTCAATTTTTCAAATTTTCTTCTTTTTCTCATATTTTTTTCTTCCCCTTCCAAAACAGACTATTGTTTCCCAGCTTACAACACGTGTACTAGGCATGAGGACATGGGAGTAAAGGCAGTCTTGTAGTTGTGGCCGAGTGATTAAGGCGATCAACTAGAAATCCATTGGGGTCTCCTCCTGCAGGTTCAAGTCTTGCAGACTATACCTACATCCTGTTCCTTTTTAAAATTGCAACAGTCATCAATTGTTTGCATTTCCAGTTTTTCTGGGGAAAAGTGTTGTGCTGGTAGGAGAAGAAAAACAACAGCGTATGCTCACTGAACAGGAAGGACCATATCACATGGAGGAACATACCAAACAAGGACTGCAATGGCTGTCCCATAGCTCGCCGTGGTTGTATAGTGGTTAGTAATTTGTTTTGTGGCCGCAGCAACCCTGGTTTGAATTCGGGTCATGGCAGGTTTTTCAAGGTGACATTGACGTTGCACTCTGTGTTGCCATCCTTAATCTCCAGCCTCCTTTTAGTGCAGGCTGAATGTTTACGTTTCCTATAGTGTGAAAGACTAGGGATTTGATATGAGCAACGGGACCTTTGATGCCAGCATGCTGTGAAGATAAACATTGATCAAGTCAGGCTTCTAAGGCATGGAAGGGATCTTGTCAATTGTTAAGTTTCCATTCTATGCTACAACAACAGAAAGACCTTCTGCAGTTGTCATTGATCTATTTAATGTCTCCTACATGACATGGAGTCCAAACTATTGTGTTGTACTGATGTCTGCACCTACAACAACCATAAACCCAACCTCACAGTAAACTTGTGTTTTAGCAACATGTATACCAACCATACGGCTTAACCCAACCCCACGGTAAACTTTTGTTTACCGTAAAGGTCTGCGCCGACCACAACCCTAAACCTTGCCTACTTAAAAAGCCTTTCCATGGAGCCCGGATACCTCATTCGGTAGAGCATCAGACTTTTAATCTGAGGGTCCAGGGTTCAAGTCCCTATTTTGGCATGTGTGATGGTGTAGTGCAGCTGATTGAAATGAGTAACCAAAATGTGATGGTGCTGTGCAGCTGATTGGCATTGACATCGGCCAATTGGCACGTAGCACCGCCTTTTTAAACCTGATTGGTCGGTGCTTGGGATACGTCACGTCCGACTCCGACGCACTGGTTTGGGTGTCTGTAGCCGCGGCTACAGGTAGAGGCTCTGCGCTCGTTCTGAATTTTTTGTAAGTTGTTTGAATCGACCCACGTTAAGCTCTCTTTTGGCATTGTTCTAGTGCATCGTGTGGCGGTGGCTTTTCCCTTGGCTGTGGTGGCTGGATGACTGTTCAGTTGCAGGTATGTGATGGCTTTGAACTGGCTGATGTAATGGGGTTTAGCCGCATTTTAACCTGCGTGTTTCATGCTGTACAGCTATTAATTCCGGCACCTCGCTGTATTGTATCGACCAACGCGTGATTAGAACGTGTCTGAGTGTGCGCCCATTGGTAAGTGAAGCACGTATGATATGGTGTGATCATTTAAAGGACCATGTTAATGGGCTTGTTTGCACTTTTCCTCCTTAGGATCCTCCCTTTTCCCCTTTCTTTCTCTCTTACGTCGGATCTTCCTCTGGTATCATTTGCTTACTAGCTCCCGTGTTCATCGCTATTGCCGTGGTTACCAGAGACCGTCTGCAACTGCTGCTAATGCTAACGGCGGCGTATTGGCTGCCGCTTGGACACCACCAATGCAGCTGCTAGCGGGGACTGCCTGCAATAACTCTTAGCGTGCTGCTTTGTGCTCCCCTTCATTCTTTCATTTGTTTATTTGTGTTGGATAATTGATTTGTATACATTAGCATTCTTCTGTTTTTTTTGTTGTGTCTTTATTTATGCAAAGTATTGATTTGTTTTTCGTTATTAAGAGTATTCTTTTGTGAGTTTAGTCTTATTTCTAGTAACAGTTAATGTTGGGTCTAGTGTAGGTCAGATGGTGTAAATACAGCTGTAGCTATCTTTCAATTAGATCATGTAAAGTAAGTGTTAACCTGATTGACCCACTTATTTGTGTTTTGTTGGTTATTTATTTTTATTTTTATTTATTTCAGGAACTGAGGTTTCCCCCGGTGGATGACGGGTCACTTTCCACTGGTGGTGGTGTTTCTCTATCGTGTGCTGTGGACACTGAGTGCGTGATAGCGTGATTTTTGAGTGCACTGTGGTGTGTGCGTGTGCTGGGGTAAAGTCTGTCCACTCGTACCCAGTCAGTGGGAACCTCCAATCCTGGTTTGGTTTTGTTTATTTATTGTTTCTTGTGTTTAATAATGAAGTGGGAGTTTTTGATGTGTTTTTAAGAACCGTACCATTTGATAGTTTTATTCCAAATAAATATTTTTGTACTTTTTCATTAACTCACGTCTCTGTGCCTTTCTGGGAGAAACGAACCTGTGTCCTTTTCTAATAGTTGTTTCCCTGGGTAACTCCCGGGGTGGCGTAGTCGGTTATTTTTATTTAAAGAGATTTAAACCCTACTCTATACCCTCGTCACACATGCAAGACTCTTTTTGTGGAGCCACAGCTTGTGCCGTTGAGCAATTGCTTGCCGAAAGATTCATCTGGATGCACAACACGTGTACTAGGCTTGAGGACATGGCTTTGCAAGCAGTCTTGTAGTCGTGGCCGAGTGGTTAAGGCGATGGACTCGAAATCCATTGGGGTTTCCCCACGCAGGTTCGAATCCTGCCGACTACGTCCAGGCAGTGCGCAGGACTTAGTTTGCAACCTTCCATGATTGTTTGCAACTCCATTGTTTCTTGGGGAAAAGGGCAGTGCTGGAAGGGAAAAGCAACAAAAATAAAACGGTAGCACATGCTATCTAACTGCCCTGGGGGCTGTAGTATCCTGGAGTAACCACAAGAGGTCGTTATTGGTTTATACATGTGTGTTATTGCCTGTAACCCAGTTGAAAGACGAGAGCCGATGCAGGAAGGCATACGGTTAAATTGTCTGTTGTTACAACTAAAGTAAACAGAAGTAAATGTTCGTTTCAACCCTATACTTGCAGTAGAGTTATCTTTATTGAAGATACAACATTTTTGGCGACGAGGATAAAGCGGAAGCACGTGATGACAGCAAATTAATGAGGTAGAAATGACGGAACACTGTGCTAATAACTGCCTGTGATGGAATTAGAAGAAAAAAAAAAAAAAGATCGTGTGAAAAGCAACCATGGCTACAGGAACTATTGGCTCACTAAAAATGTTTGATGCTAAAATTCAAACATGGGAAGAATATTCCGAAGTGCTGGAGCAATTTTTCGTGTCTAATGGAATCGAAGATGAGGGTAAGCAAAGAGCTATTCTCATAAGTGTTGTGGGACCACAAACTTACAGTGTGATGCGAAATCTTCTAAGCCCTGTGTGGGGAGTCAACGGATTGTTCCAGAACCGAACAAGTCACAGACCATGTTATCCTTAAAAGATTGGTTGGTGCCTACAAGTCTGAGCTTTGATTTCATTTTCAAAGCAACCCACAGGCACCCAGCAAAAGGCAATCCACAGGATGACTAGCCAGTCAACATCACAGTTGCGTGTTAATTAACTTTACACCTTAAAACAATAAGAGGCTCTACAATCAAAAACCCACCAAACCGGTTTTTGAGAAGTACCTTTTGGTTCGCGTGTCCTTTGGCGTCTGCAAGGAATACACATTCTCAGGCAGACACAGAAGCGATCAGAAACGCTTCCAAAGTTTAATGGACATTTAAGTAAAACAGTTTATTTGAGTAATGTACGTTTGCTTTATGTTTCTGTAGGTTTTTGTGTGTACATGTTCCATGTGTTTAACAAAACTGTTATGGATAGTTATTGAGTTATAGCCCTCAGCGACAAGTGAAATCTACAGAATGTTTGTGAAATACTTCATGTTTGGTATCGATTGAAAGCTAGGAACATTTCAAATGCATTGGTTTATATGAAGAAACCATACTATGAAAAGTGTCGATGTTATAAGACTTTATTTTAACCACTATGCTATCAAAGCAGCACCCACACCAGGTGTCAACCCGGCCTCCTATAGGGCAGAATTGGGGTGTGACTCCACCCCGCACCTTATCTGATTGGAAAAGTATTGTGTAGACCCAGCCTCTACCAAAGCCTATAAAACTTTGAACAAAGGAATTTCCTCGTCGTCTTTTGCCAGTCATCTTTGCCAGTCGTCACCGCCGTCGCTGCCCGGACGTCGCTCTTCTCGTGCTGTGGCCGTTACATCGCCTCGCCGGAAGCCTCGTTACATCACGGAGCAGACCGCGACCTTCACTTGCTGCCGGCTCGACCCCCGATCTGCTTGTGCAACCGCTTCAACAACAAGCCATCGGGTCAACACATCCAAACTCTGAAACTCATCCTAACTACAGGAACCCAGGAAGGACTTCGAACGCCGCCTTGTCCAACATCCGTATCCCTAGCAACCGACTAAGGAAACCCCTCTTCACCGACAAGGGAATTCCATCACGTCACTGAAGTTGCTACGCTGACCAATCAGCTTCACCGGGATTTCCCTTTGGACCAGTCGAAGAAACCAAAAATTCCATCAGAACGCAAGTAGCACAAACAAGGTTTCTACCCATTACTGAATCTGGTGTGAATTATGTTTAAGTAGTAAAGAATAACGAAATTCTCTGCTTTTATGGTTTCTCTCAGGTTACAATGCTAAGAACTTAGCAAAGGCTAGAAGTTGAATCCACTCAGTCAAAACTCTCCTCAAACTGCTTGTGTGTGTGTGTATGTATGTGCATTTGTTTGTTTTACGTAGATTAGTACTTTGTGTTATAGAGTAGCAATAAACTTTTGTTTCGTTTTAAGATCTGTGTTGTTGTGTTGTGTGCTTTATAAGTTAATGCCTCAGCTTCAGATACTGCTACCTTGCTCATTAAATAATTAGATACTGTTTTTATATTGTTATTGTTGGCCACGTAATAATATAATACAGAATTGCTTTACACTAAACATTCTATTTGCTGGACAAATACTTAAGTTAAGTGTAAGCTTTAAATAATTCTATGTGAATCATGTTCGAATCTTTGATTCGAATCCCCAAAGTTTAAACATGATTTAAACCAAAGAGCTGATTCTTACACATAAAATTAAGAAGGGTAAATAACAAAATATGATTTATTTAACAAGCAAATTAAATATATTTAAATAAGATGAAAATGAAAACACAAAGGACTAAAAACCAGCTCAAATGTTCTTGAATAAAACGTGTTACAGTGATGTACACATGTACAAATACGTCATGTCCGAAAAAGCCTTTTTTAGAGGTGTTTTGACAGTTCAGAGCCACCGTACAAGTAAACAGCTTACAGATAGTACGTTTAGAAAATGCGGCACAGATTCATGCTATTTGGCGTTTTAGATTCTTTCGAACATGTAGCTGCTGCTTGTCAATCAGATGCGTCTGCACTCGTTCTTGCTGTCAATTGCGGGGGGAAAATGATCGATGAAAAGTTTATGATAAACCGCTGAGTTTTACTCAACTGTAGAGGAAGAGTTGCCATCAGAGTCCGATTTTCATACAAAACCTGCAATGAGCTGACTTTATGGCTAACAGAGCTGTATATAAAGACAGAATGAGCCGCTGGTCGAGAGCCTCTATGACTGGATTCACCCCCCGTGCTACAGTGTGTGTGTGCGCGCGGTGACAGCTCGCGCGCTCGTCATAATCAATATGAATATTTCGATCAAACTGAATACATCTTACATCAACAACACATGACAAGCAACGCGTTGATAATAACAAATAATCAGATTACAAACAACTGTTGTAAAATGTGCGGTTCCAGTTGCAGTTTGGTGTGTGTGTGTGTGAAGCGTAGAGGGAGAGGGAGAGAGATAGGAGCGGATTTTGGGCAATGAGACTATTTTAAGTGACTGATTTGTTGTACCACATGGAAAGTAATAAATATTTTGGACCAAGTTACATGTGTCCTCGTTCATTCACCGGCTGCAACTAAAAGAGAAGGCAATTCACCACGAAACTAATATTATTCGACCCTGGAGTAATAAGTTAAGATCCCCTGCTATCTCGACACAACAAAGAGACGGAGCTGGAAAGGTTTACATAGGTAATATTTTTCCTGAGGCGATTTAAAGCAAAATACACAATGACACTCAATCAAACACATCTACAATGATAAGGAAAATGGTTACTTACTGACTTATTAACGCACAGCAATACCACTTGAAGAAATGACAGACTTTGAAGGAATAAACAGTGTGAAGAGAGATCCATTATAGTGCAATGGGCAAGTCTAAACAAGTTCCGCCCACGCGTGCGCAGCACTCAAGTCTGTACAATTACGTAATTTATCGGCTTAAAGATATCGGCCGAATTTAGACATCGGATCGATAACGATAGTCCTAAAAATAGCATTTATCGGCCGATACCGATATGGCCGCCGATATATCGTGCATCCCTAATATATATATATATATACATATATATATATATATATATATATATATATATATATATATATACTTTTACTAACCAGCAATGATAGGTGAGCAAAATAAAAATTGAAAGAGGATACTTTTATTAGGCCTTTCATGAGTCTAATAATCTCAAAGTCACACTTAAAAAGAAGGTCCAAAAACCTGCATTTATAAATGAAGAATGTTTTGCAAAGAATAAAAGGTTGTTAACCAGGTAATGCTGTGTACAATTTGTTTTAGTTACACCAAATTTAACTTGTTTATTGTAAAAAGGGTTTAAACGGATATTGACATGAGACATTCTGTATTATGCATTACGTATTATGAGTCATGAGTAGGGCCAGAAAGAATCTGTCAATGTTTTTTGCTATTTCTGCGAAGAATATTGATAAAAATCTGTGGATTTCTGCCAAAATATTTTGGGAGTATTATAACTAAAACCTAAATATGTGAAACAAAAAATATTATCTTTTAAACTTTTATTTAATGTTTAAAATGCAAATCCAATTAGATACACTTTATTTGATAAACAAAGCAAGTCACTCGTATAATATTTCTACTAAAAGACAAAAAATATTACTGTAAAAACTGCATTGTACATAAATCAGATAAACATTTTCATATTAGTCAATAATATTACTGTATTTAATTTAAAAAGTGAATAAATATATATTTACACAAGTAAATAAAATGGAATTAATGATGTGCGCGACATTATATGTTATGAGTCATGTACATGAGTATATGCAATTGTATAAACATGCTCAGTGTTTTCAATATCTTTCACAAAATTGACAAATTCTCCTCAGTATCAACTTTTAATCTCAAGAATTCTTTAGATGGAGACACATCATTAATCATTTTAACTGAAGTTCTTTAATTTTGGGGAGAATTAAAAAAGAAATGTAACTTTCTTATTTTTCTAATTCCTGTGAATTAAATTATTTTAAAATAAACGAGGTCTGAGCTGATTATGACCACGGGTATGCTCAGTCCAGAAAGACTAGGACCTCCATGCAAAAATGAATGGCCTATCATCCGGCCAGCCATCTGGAACAGGTTGCTGTCCCGTAGTACAGCAGATGCAGAAGGTACACGGTGGTTTTTTCCCCCCTCAAAAAGGGCTGTAGTAGATGAACCTAAAAAATCTAATCAGTAAGAATGAACTAATAGTACTAGTTGTATAAAATCTGTAATAGCCCAAAAGCAAAAGAGACATAAAACATCAAATCACATCTGTAAAATTCTAAACAAATGTTTTCTCTGTATGCACTGTGGTGGTACCAGTCAGCATCGATCTGCATTGCCCACCAGTAAATAGAAAGATAATGTTATGAACATTTTACATCTTATCAGGTGTGCAAAAGGCTTCTCAAGTACAGTGCACGAAATCATACAGAAAAAGGTCAGGGTTACAGGCAGTGTTGACGAAAATTAACTTTATATATATATATATATATATATATATATATATATATATATATATATATATATATATATATATATATATATATATATAAATGTGTGTGTGTGCGCGTGTGTGTGTGTGTGTGTGTGTGTGTGTGTGTGTGTGTGTGCACATGTAACCGAACTGCAACCAATTACAAACCCAAATTTAAAGTGAAGCCAGTCTTCAGTTTTTGCATCATCATTGACAAAATATGGCGGTTAACTCCTTTGCCAACAGCTGCATCTCCTAAAAAAAATACAAAATGAAGCAAGTTCGTTGCACAAACTGTACAGACTATAAGCGATTCAAATGATTTTAATAATAAAAAAGGAGTACCAGTCAATCTATATTTCAATGGAGCGGACCAATTAGCACTGTTCATTTTATAAAATGAAACCAGGGTACTATCTTGTTCATCCATAGTATCAAACTGGTTGATGAGTAATGATAGAGATGGACAGTGTGAATTGATGGAGAGCAGCTCATCACAGAACATTCGAGATGATTTGAATGGGTCAATTTCATTTTTCCATGCTGAAATCAAATGAACAATTTATCTAAATACCATTTTACAAGCATAGTTGAATAACAATACAAAAAAGATGAAAGAATAAATGAATAAAGATGCACTTATCATTTTACAGTACAACAGCACTAAAAAAATAAAATGTGTTGTGTCTAACCTGCAGACAGGGATGTTGAAGATTGTGCAGTTGAGGGTCCTGGCAATTCTTCTGTATTTAAAGTGAATGAAGAATCATTGTCACCAAAAGTCCTTTCTCTAAAACAGGCAAGACACAAACAATTTCAATTGTGTTCATTAAGCCACTTCAAAAATTTTCATGCATATTAAAAGCATTTGCCCAGTTTCATAGACAAGGCTTAGACCCTAGTGCCAGACAAAGTCTGGATGTAACTTACAATGACATACTGTATATAGTCGTTAATGTCAAAATTAACCAGTAATGATTTTCTCAAAGCAAGGCTTATAAAAGCTACATACATCAAATCTAATAATGTCTACTACTGACCCAGTTTATGAAACCAACACATTAATTTAAATTTAAGACAGTCCACCAGAAAATTATTTTGTTAATTTTTTACCCTACATTCCATCTGATCTTTGTACATCTCCCTCGAGATATATACAACCAAAACAAACTGTGCAAACTAATCCTTTAGTATTAAAGGCATGTCATCCTACAATTTTTAGCATAACTTTACCCTTCACCACACATGCTTGCATGAAAAGGCAAGACATCAGTTGGGAAAGAGATCTGGCAAATTGGACAAATCTGTAAAAAGTAAAAATAAATTAAACAATGTATGTTTGTAGCAAATTTGTTGAAGAACATACATATTCTACCCCATAAAAAGATTCTAAAATATTAAGAATAGTCTCAAATTTTTAATAGCTTCAAACACATTCTTTATGGAACCACGAATTGGGTATATTCAAATATAGTGAGTATACCCAAATACAAGAAATAGGCTTTGATCAAAGACCTGTAATGATGGTTCTAAGATGGGGTGAAGTAGGCTTGGCTGGTCAACAGTTTCGATTACATTTTCGTCTACATCATCATCTAGAATGGTCACATCATTTGAAGACTCCTAATAAAAGTAATCAAAATGCATTGGCATTGTAAATAAATAATATTGATAGAAAAATAAAACCATAATACTGTATGACTTACTGTCTCAGCTTCTTTACACTCTTCAATGTGTAAGGGCAGCAATGGCAGTGGTATTTTCTTACCACATTTCATACAGCTGGACTGTGGCATCTTAGCAAACTCCACAGAATCATAAGGTAATGGTTCAGTGGAAAGCTGTTCCTGTAATGGAACTACAAACAGCATGTTCTTTCCATTATTTGACACTGATTTTAGGAGTCGAGTTGAGTATTCATCAGCATCTGTGGGAATTATAGACAGCTTACGCCGCCCACCCCCACCAAATGGCAAAATCAATTGAGAATCACATTCAGGACTACTGTTGCCTTCTTGGGCTAGCAATATTGTTATAAATGTGTCACCTAAAATTTTGGAAAGAAATGTTCTATAAAGCTCTGTTTACCACTGGAAAACTGAAGTAGGGCATGCCATAATCTTAGAACATGGCAGAGAAACATGTCCTTGACTAAAAAGTTTAAACTAATGAAGCTTATTACTAAATTATTAACGCCAACAAAGCACATACCAGTTTCATTAATTTACAAAAGTGCAAAGTTATTGCAAATGCACACAAATCATTTTTTGTTTATATGTAACATGCAAAACATAAATACCTGTAGACTTGTAAAACATCCAGCCACCCTGAAGTGTTTTTAATTTGGGAAACTCTCCTTCAAGCAGACTGACAATCTTAAGAATGAAACAAAATTCATCATTTAGTTTTTTTTTTTTTTTTTTTCCAACAGATATAAAACTCCCATCAATTCCTAGTATTATGGTAACATTTGCAATTAACTCACTGTGTTTAAAATTATCTGGAACAGTTAAAAGCCTTTTTCCAAGTCCAGCATGGACAAGCTCAAGGTCTTCATCTCCTTTTGGTGTGAATGGTGATGGTTCAGAGAGGACATGGATTTGAAAATCATTTTTTTTTAATGTTTCCAGGTTTGGCCACAGAAAAATCTCTGTCCCAAACATACTTGGGAATTGCCTATAGTGACAAAAGGGCAAAATGAATAAACATATTAATAATAAGAAACATTTTTTGCATGACACAAAAAGTTGTGTTTTACAGTAAACATGAAAAATTACCTTTTTAAGGCTTGCCTTACCATGTTTTCAGGCTCTGCAGGCAAAGGAATGGTCCCACTTGAGATGCTTTCTCTCATTGGTCTACTACCACTAGCTAGTGCATTTCTTTACGAAGATGGAGTAAGGCCCCTGGCTAATACATCGATCAGAGCTTTTGCTGCTATTTCTACTTCTGATGACAGTGCCTGTAAGACAAATACCAATTATACCTTTTATCATTTGTTATCTTCATAGTCCGCGATCAACACTGCCGACCCCCACCCCGCCCGTTCCTTACAGTCGGCGATCATCTCCTCTCTCCACCCCCCATACCCACCCACACCCAAAACGGCATTACGCTCTCCCGGTCTTCACTTTAGTACGCGATCGATTCTACCCCCAAATTAGTCCCCGATCAAATTTATAGCTGAGCTCCCTTGAATGACAATCCTAGAATCGACCATGACAGAAGCCATGCTATTTTACACGACCATCCCGTTCTTCACTCGCCATGTTGGCTTAATAACGGACTTAATTTACGTTATAAAGTTTACATTATAAACAACAGCAGCCATTGCTTTAACAAACGTTTGATACTTAATCTTTGCATACATAAACCACTATAGAAATCAAGTAACCACTTACCCGCGCATCCCGCTCTTCACCTGCCATGCTAAATAGAGGAGTATTCTTCTTCGTAGAGGATCATCTCCGTTAATTAGGTCAGACTGCGCAAATGGAGCGCACAGTGAAGCGCTTTGGTCATTCCCGCGTTCTCAGGGAGTTGTGATTGGTTGAACAGTAAGCTCGCATCTTATTGGCTACAGGGCACGAGTGACTCACGTGGGAGGTGTGTGCTGACAGGAAAGTCTCAAAAATGCACACACTCGTATTCAGGGTGAGTCGTACGTGAGAGAGGATTTGCACATTCTCATTCAGGATGAACTCGTGAATTTTAAACATTCAAAACTTTTTGTACACTCTTATATATTTGCAAATGGTGTTTTACATTTGTGAAATGTATTTTATGAAAATGTATTTTTATTTTGTGCATGTGAATTGTTTTTGTGAGTATAAATAAATATTTTACGCATGTGAATTTGGCTACGCATGTGTACATTGTGTCTTTTGCGTGAATTATTATTGAGTCTAATCTCTCTCCATAGAAAAACACTTTTTTATCAGATCTGGACTCCGTTGCTTGAATATGTAGGTCCTAGGATTTCAGGTACATTTTTGCAAAACCTTAAATCACCATAAACTTTGGTTAATTTATGTACTTTTCTATTTTTATTATTACTCTGTATTTTTATGTCTTCTTTTTGATTTTGATTTTCATTATGTGCTGTGATGCTAAGAAATTTCTTGGTTGTAAGCTGTTGTCATTGTTCTGTTCTTTTTTGTTTTGTTAAAATAAAGACAAAAAAATGTATTTCGAAGAATTCCAGTTTGTCAGCAGATAGTGTCGGCGCATAAAACATTCCTTTGCATAGTAGTTTGGTTGTCTAGGACTATGATTCTCGTTCATGCTGTGAGAAATCCCAGATTCAAATTTCGGTTGAGCCCTTACAGTTGTCTGCTGTTTTGTAAGGGCGTTGTGGCTTACACAGAGGCCTTTTTTCTGAGAATGCCAGTTCGTCAGCTGATAGTGTTGCCATATAAAGTTACTGTTTTGCAGTGGCTCGTTGATCTAGGGGTATGATTCTCGCTTTGGGTGTGAGAGGTCCCGGGTTCAAATCCCGGACGAGCCCTTGCAGGTGTCATGTGTTTTACAGGGCACTATGACTTTCATTAAAATGTCTTTCGAAGAATTCCAGTTTGTCAGCAGATAGTGTCGCCACATAAAACATTCCTTTGCATATTGGCTTGCTGGTCTAGGAGTATTATTTTCGTTCATGCAATGAGAAATCCCAGATTCAAATTTCGGTTGAGCCCTTACAGTTGTCTGCTGTTTTGAAAGGTCTACGGGCTTACACAGAGGCCTTTTTTCTGAGAATGCCAGTTCGTCAGCAGATAGTTTTGCCATGTAAAGTGGCTGTTACAGAAGCTTGTTGGATTAGGTGTATGATATTCGCTTAGGGTGCCCTTGATTCGTCAGAGAAAGTTTTCTGACTATCTGATGGTTCTGACGCCATGTGAAATTTTATCAATGTAGTGGCTCGTTGGCCTAGGGGTATGATTCTCGCTTTGGGTGAGAGAGGTCCTGGGTTCAAATCCCGGATGAGCCCTTGTGGGTGTCATGCGTTTTACAGGGCACTATGTCCTTTGTAAAAATATCTTTCGAAGAACTTCAGTTTGTCAGCAGATAGTGTCGCCACATAAAACATTCCTTTGCATAGTGGCTTGCTGGTCTAGGAGTATGATTTTCGTTCATGCAATGAAAAATCCCAGATTCAAATTTCGGTTGAGCCCTTACACTTGTCTGCTGTTTTGTAAGGTCGTTGTGGCTAACACAGAGGCCTTTTTTCTGAGAATGCCAGTTTGTCAGCAGATAGTGTTGCCATGTAAAGTGGCTGTTTTGCAGTGGCTCGGTGGTCTACGGGCATGATTCTCGCTGAAGGTGCGAGAGGTCCTGTTTTCAAATCCTGGACGAACCATTGCAGAAGTCCCGGGTCCAAATGAAGCAAAAGCCCTGCTTCAATGTTTGTTAGATAAGGATTTCTGACCATCTGTTGCTTCTGACGTCCTGTAAAATATTCAAGCTTTTGTGGCTTGTTGGTCTAGGGGTATGATTCTCGCTTAGGGTGCGAGAGGTCCCGGGTTCAAATCCCGGACGAGCCCTTGCAGTTATTCTGTTGTTTTACAGGGCATTATGGCTTTCATAAAAAAACTTTTTCGAAGAATTCCAGTTTGTCAGCAGATAGTGTCGGCACATAAAGCATTCCTTTGCATAGTGGTTTGGTTGTCTAGGACTATGATTCTCGTTCATGCCGTGAGAAATCCCAGATTCAAATTTCGGTTGAGCCCTTACAGTTGTCCACTGTTTTGTAAGGGCGTTGTGGCTTACACAGAGGCCTTTTTCTGAGAATGCCAGTTCGTCAGCTGATAGTGTTGCCATATAAAGTTACTGTTTTGCAGTGGCTCGTTGGTCTAGGGGTATGATTCTCGTTTAGGGTGCCCTTGATTCGTTAGAGAAAGTTTTCTGACTATCTGATGCTTCTGATATCATGTGAAATGCATTCAACTTAGTGGCTCGTTGGTCTAGGGGTAATATTCTTGCTTCGTGTGTGAGAGGTCCCGGGTTCAAATCCCGCACGAGCCCTTACAGGTGTTATGTGTTTTACAGGGCACTATGTCTTTCATTAAAATGTCTTTCGAAGAATTCCAGTTTGTCAGCAGATAGTGTCGCCACATAAAACATTCCTTTGCATAGTGGCTTGCTGTTCTAGGAGTTTGATTCTCGTTCATGCAATGATAAATCCCAGATTCAAATTTCGGTTGAGCCCTTACAGTTGTCCGCTGTTTTGTAAGGTCGTTGTGGCTTACACAGAGGCCTTTTTTCTGAGAATGCCAGTTTGTCAGCAGATAGAGTTGCCAAATAAAGTTGCTGTTCTGCAGTGGCTTGTTGGTCTAGGGGTATGATTCTCACTTAGGGTGCCCTTGATTCGTTAGAGAAAGATTTCTGACTATCTGACACCTTGTGAAATTCATTATGTCTTTCGTAAAAATGTCTTTTGAAGAATTCCAGTTTGTCAGCAGATAGTATTGCCATGTAAAGTGGCTGTTTTGCAGTAGCTTGTTGGTCTACGGGCTTGATTCTCGCATAAGGTGCGAGAGGTCCCGTTTTCAAATCCTGGACGAACCATTGTAGAAGTCCTGGGTCCAAATGAAGCAAAAGCCCTGCTTCAATGTTTGTTAGATAAGGATTTCTGACCATCTGTTGCTTCTGAAGTCTTGTGAAATATTTAAGCTTTTGTGGTTTGTTGGTCTAGGGGTATGATTCTCGCTTAGGGTGCCCTTGATTCCCTTTAGAGAAAGATTTCTGACTATTTGATGCTTCTGACGCCATGTGAAATCCTATCACTTTAGTGGCTCATTGGTCTAGGGGTGTGATTCTCGCTTCTGGTGTGAGAGGACCCAGGTTCAATTCTCAGATGAGCCCTTGCAGGTGTACTGTGTTTTACAGGGCATTATATCTTTCGTAAAAACGTATTTCAAAGAATTCCAATTTGTCAGCAGATAGTGTTGCCACATAAAATATTTCTTGCATAGTGGCTTGCTGGTTTAAGAGTTTGATTCTCGTTCATGCCATGAGAAATCTTAGGTTCAAATTTCAGTTGAACCCTTACAGTTGTCTTTTGTTTTGTAAGGGCGTTGTGGCTTACACAGAGGCCTTTTTCTGAGAATGCCGGTTTGTCAGCAGATAGTGTTGCCATGTAAAGTGGCTATTTTGCAGTTGCTCGTTGGTCTACGGGCATGATTCTCGCTTAAGGTGCGAGAGGTCCCGTTTTCAAACCCTGGACGAACCATTGCAGAAGTCCCGGGTCCAAATGAAGCAAAAGCCCTGCTTCAATGTTTGTTAGATAAGGATTTCTGACCATCTGTTCCTTCTTATGTCTTGTAAAATATTCAAGCTTTTGTGGCTCGTTGGTCTAGGGGTATGATTCTCGCTTAGGGTGCGAGAGGTCCCGGGTTCAAATCCCGGACGAGCCCTTGCAG